TTTCATGGAATAATAGCTAATAGGTATCGAGTGCACATTCTGTGCCAGAACCTCATCTGGATTCTTTAGATACAGTAGTTCATTTAATCCTCTAGAAACTGTGTATGCGGTAACATTGTTACCATTTTTATTGTTGAAAAACAGGCAGAAAGAGATTATTTATTTGTCAGAGTCGAAAAGAAACCCTGGTAAGTGGCAGTGATCGGATACTATGCTTAACACATATACACTCAGTAAATGTAGTTATTAATTCAATTATTTAGGGTTATTAGGAAAGAAAATAGTATAGAAAAACCAAAAGGACATGAATACATACATTTGCCTACCTGGCACTGTTAGCATTTTATGTGAGATGCCCTCTAGGATATATCAGAGGAGTGTAAACTCCAAGCGGGAAAGAACTTCTCAGTTGAAAGAACTTCTCAGTTCTTTCACAGAGAGAAACTTCTGTTTCTCAGTGCTTGTTGATATGCTGCCCAACTGCTCAGTACACTGACTAAGAAAAGCCAGGAAAAAAGATAAAAATCTTAAAATAACCATAAACACTGAAACAGAAGCAAAGCACCATGGCTAAGAACTCCATTCTAGTCAAGAGAGCAGACAGTGGATAAAGCACATACCTCGGGTTTCATTTGGTGGCGTACCCTGACTCTGAGCCCACAGAAGAGAAGCTAGCTAGAATCATGCAGGAAGATGCTATGTTCCTGTCACAGCTTAATTTTTGCTCTTCCGAAGGAAACGTGGCAGTCTCTTCTCCAGGTGCCAAGGGCTGGATGTGAGGCAGCAGCAGGCTTGTGTTTTCTCATCTCACATCTCCACGTCTCCTGCCCCAAGTACTGACTCTTCCAACACACTTCTTTTCATCTAGACAGAGACTACAAAGCTCAACAAACTATAGGAATCCGGACTATTGGTCAGGGCTGCTCTAGCGGGTAGGGGGTGGGGGTGGGGGGCTGTGGAAGGAGAGACGGAGGCAGAGGCAGCCCAGAGGTTTAATACCAGGAGCCAAACGCTACAGGAAGTAACCCGCAGAGCCACGAGCCTGCCATGCAATGTGCTTCTTTTTCAGGCGTTACCGCAATTCAGATCAGCAGAGAAATTGGACCATGTCTCTGAATTAATGTTTTGTAGGATCTTTTATAGAGTCTCAAGAAATTCTATTCTATGCTCAGTAGGGCTCAAGGAAATCAGACTTCTTTATCAAGAAATGTAGCAAATTACAAGTTATTTTTATTTGAAGGGAAGAGGGCTGGAATCAGTTGAGCAACCCTAGGACAGATTGTAATTCTATGACACTCTTATTAAAGTAATTTGGTTTTAAGATAAACGGATCAACAGATGTCTGCCACCCTATTGTAAGAATGCAGTTTCAATCCTGTTCAAATAAATAAACATGGGACATAGCCAGTAAAGCAAATATGGGTTGGTTGCCATGCTTTAAACAAATACTAGCATAAGTGTGATGAGTTACAAAGAGATAATGAGCAGGAATATAAAATTGACATGAAACGCAGTCATTGATTAGTAGAAGTGCACAGAGAATGTGTAAGTGGTCGCCATACGTAGCATTGATAAGCATTGCTTAAAGACAGTGGCCGTGTGAAGGAGACAATACAGAGGATTGCAAATTCTTAGACTCTGTTATCCTGTAGGGCTGTCTCTTCATGTCTGTCAGAAGGAAGAGTGTGTTTGTTGACATCACAAAAAGTTTGTTGTAACTGTTGAGCCGTTTCCTGTAATAATTGCTTTTGCGGCCTCGAGGTTGGTTTTAAAAGCTTGAATTATGAATATTTCATATTATATTATTTTCATATTCCATGAGCATACCTCATGCAAATGAACTTTCTTATAGCCTCGCACTGACCTTTACCTCATTGAAAGAAATTAAATTGTAAAGTGAATCTGCTTAGGAAAATCTTTTTTCGGAAAATGTCTCTTCTACGTTGTTGAGGTTGAAGAAGCCGTTAGCATTCCAAGACATCAACCCCATTACATAACGAAATAAAAATCTAGTAATTGGTAAAAAAAATTAAAACGTTAAAATAGTTTGCTCAGGATGAAATGAATTAACACTGTTTAAAATGTTGGCATGCTGCGGAGAAAAAGTGCCTGCAATGATTAGCTCTTAATTTTTCAGGATTTGGGGGTGCTTTTCAGACCATATCCTGGCATACTTGACATTTTCATCAGGCTGCTTCAAAATGGTGAGACACATTGAGATAAAGAAATTTCGACTTTGTAAATCCCTAATGTGTAATTGCAATAACATATTCATATATTAAGAAACAAAAAAACATGTTAAATACCTAGAAACAAAAAAGATAATTATTTTGCAAGTAGTGACAAATAATAATAAGACTATTTTCTGTTTTCTCTGAGTATCTGAGAGTAGTTTTTTTTAATCTCTGGTGATTCCTGAGGAAAATAAAACCGCAGGTTGTGAATTTTCTGTTCACAAAATCTCAGCTGCCTCCTAAAATTTCCTGTAACCTTATGATGCCTGGAGGACTGATGTCTTGTATACTAAGAAGGAGAAAAATTCTGGGCTTCACATGCTCCATTTATTTTATTCACACCGTATCTTATTTCAAAACTCTGAAATCATATTACGGCAGGGACTTTACTTCCTTTATCTAAACATCCTGATTTAATTTTCAGATTAAAGTGTTCTTGAATGTAATGTCATGCATGGAATCAAAAACAGAAGTATTGGTGTTTATTTTCATACCCAGGAATGGTTTTATGTGTAAGCCAGGTTTAAAGGGAACAGACCTATAAAGAGAGAGTCTATAGATTTTCGAATAATCTCAAGAAACTATTACTTTGCATAATTATAAATACTATTTATCTCAAAGATCAAAGCATTGATATGTATCTATATATGTGTATGGATAACACCCTGAAAACTTCTTTTATCTAAAATTCTTAGCAAAATAGCCACCTGCAGAAAAAACAAATAAACAAAAAGCAGAGGAGAAAATATGCCTTAAATTGGTTAGCAAGAAATGAATGAATGGATTCAATAGCAAAGTTGTTGTTTCCTTCAGGATCACGTGATTTTATTTAGCGAACGTATTATATTTCACAGTAGTTTTAAGAAAAATATCGATAAATAAAATTTTGTGAGTTGTATCTTCATCTTTCAGTGAATTTACTTCATAGTTTTGGGTATGTGATTTTTCGGTTGATATTCACTTATCAGTGTCTGTTGACATCTGCTTTTCACTTTTCTATCAAACATTCACTTCAAAAGCCTTTATGTTAAGGAATTTTCTGTGACTAAAACCTGTATACATTTCTAAGATTTTTTAAGCTTTTCTTTAAAAGAGTTTACAAGATTATAATATTCTAATGTTTTTCATTTAGCTAAAATGCCGTTATTTACTTTTCTATGCAGTGTGAAATTATGAAAGATTTGGTGATAGCAATAGCTTGTTCTTATGTCTATTCAAGAAAATCTCATTATTCTCAAATGACATTTGTTTTATTTGTAAAAACCAAGATTTGTATTATCACCAAAACATGATACTTCAATACAGGGACTCATTCTCATCATCTTACACATGCACTAAAGTCAGTGAGTCTATAATTAATCTACTTGGCACTTTATAAATATTTTTAAGTTCAGTCATCTTAAGAACACCATAGAGGTTTTATTTGAATATTACAAAAGAAAAATTGAAGTTCAGACTATTTCAGTAACTTTCCTAACATATTGCACTTGATAAGTGATAGAGGCAAGATTCAAATAAAAACACTCCATGTTTAAAAGTCTTCACTCTTTGCTAAAATACTGCATTGCCTTGCACATACAGTGCTTGCACATGATTCCACAGTGTTTTATGGCGCTTCTGGTATGCTCCTAGTATGACAGTTGCAGTATTGACTTTTATTTGTAGGCTTCATGACAACTCACGTTATCTCATTCAACCCAACTCTCCCTTTAAAGATATTCTGTTTTCATATGACTGGCTAAAAAAAGGTAAACTATATTCCGTGTGATTTCTTTTCTCCCATGTGTTTCTAAGTTTTCTACAAAACTGTTCCTGATTCTTAGACCAATATGCCATATTAATTTTTAGTCTAAAAGGTTCTTTCATTAATCCTACCTATTGGCCTCGTTTCCTTGCTTAGGCCTCCATCAAGAGGTGCTTTGGGGACTATCAGGCAATCTACTTAGAATCAACACCTGCACAGACTATAAAGAAGATTAAGAATTAGAAATCCTGAGTTCTTAAATAAAAAAAAGAAATGTGAAGGGTAAGGGAGCTTAGAACATACATGAATTTCTGAGGATCGGACATCTGTTTAGGGAGCTCAGGCAATGATGGTCTCAAGTCACGACTTTGCTTATGTATTTCTGCTGTCTTCTGGCCAGTGTTCAGTGCTGTCTCCCATTTTTCCTTTTTTTTTTCCCTTCTTCAGTTATTTACTTTGTTTTCTATATTTGGCCATGTTTTCTCCTCTACAGATACAAGCTTCTTGAAGTCAGGCATTGACTTCATCAAGAAGTCCTGGTAGTTTTGGATGGGTCTGATTGACTATTTCATAAGTTAAACAAAATTGGACACTTCTGAAAAGTATTAGAAATGAAAGCTGCCTACTATATAGCTGTGGTCCTAGAACAATGGTATAAAGATCAGCCCATCGTTTTTCTGATGAGATAAAAAAACTTGTATCGCCCTAACTCCGTGTATAAAGCAATCATACTCTTTGAAAAGAAACAGCCACAGGAAAAGAAAATACCTATCAGCCAAAGAAAAATTAAAACTCACTTTTTTAGTTGATACTTGAAATGCATGATGACTTGTTTTATTATTCACAACCATATAAGGCATTGACTTAGCATTGAAATGGATGATAAAATGCCTCAAATAGTACTTTCTATCCCAATATCTTTCTAAAATAAGAAAAAACTTCTATGTCTAATTTGATAACAGGAAAGACAATCAAAAACCACTGAGAGCATTTAGTTCTCAAATAATCATTAACCGTATGGATGAAGAAAATTAAAATATTTATTAGTATAGGTGAGCTATAGTTTTCATAGTTTACATTTCAATTAAAATATAATTTCCCAAAGCCAAATGTATGGCACCTTTAAATATAGACATTTATAGACCAGGCAATACACATCTAAAGTTAAATATTTCTGTAAAGTAGAGACACATATACTTATTAGCATAATCTTATTTGAATAATATGTATTAAACGGTTCAGTGAGATTTGGGATAAGCACATGATTGATGGGGGAACACTTTCTGAATGTAGCAAATACCAAAAAAACATTCACTCATTTCTAATTTCTACCCCAATTCTTAAAGACCCCAAAATGAAAAATGTGTACTCTTGGACTAAACCTCCTCTGGTCATCATTCCAGTGACTGACTGCCCGCCATTTTAGGAGCAGGCTCTCTTCACAGGTGAGAAAACGGTCCACTCAGTCTGGCCCTGGAGCTATGCGTCATCTGGTCATGCTTCTGGGACCAGTGGACGCGTGCTCCATACACCTGGGTCAGTCCACGCTCACTCAGGAGTGAACAGAAATGTGCATCCTTCTCGGTTATCAAGCTAGGCTGGTTGTGTTTCACCTGGACTTTCTGTAGAGATGGACGTGTTCTCCCTAAAGTTCCCGATGCTGGCTTATCACTAGAAGACATACTGCTCTCCTTGAGCTAGGGTTAGTGGCCCAAGAACAAATGACAGTCCTCTCCCACCGTAAGAGCCGGATCACTTCCACATATTCTGTACAGGGATGGAATCTTCATCATTACGGAAAATGTCGTTGAATTTCTGTCTGAGCCTTACAGTGTTTGCGTCTAGAAAAAAAGAATCCAAACTAGATATTTGGTTAAACTGTCACCACTGTTGAAAAAGCTTAACCTTAACTTGACAATCTTAGAAAGCGTTGTTATTGCTTCTCTACTGCCATTTAATTAAGCAATACATTTTTCTCATCCTGAATGGAATGAAGTCAAATGGAAAGTTTTAACAGAACATGTTGACAGACACAGTATTGTTAGAATAAACATTTTGATTTGCCTTCTTCAAGTCCTTTCCCATGATGCATTTCATTTTAAAAGATGAGCCCATTTGTTAACAGACACGTGCTATGTCTAAGAAGCAGATGTACAAGCTTGCCACCAAAACGAGCAACTTAGTTGTCTTTATAACCAGATGGAGACATCTGACGTCACATCCTGGAATTCGTTGTAGGTAAACGAGCGGGACCGTCTTCTAAGATTGGTTGGCTTCTGAGGTCTTCCTTCTATCAAGTTTAAGTAGATGTCAGATTTCAGGAAACGTGTGTAACTGTCTTGTTCCATCAGCTGATACACTCGGCTTTGTGCAGCATCGAAACTGTGGAGGGTGGGTTGGGTGATGCTCTTAGTAATAAGTTCTTTGGTGTGGAAATCAAGGTTTACCTAGATGATAATTTTAAAAAAGGGTAATTATGGTCAACCTGTTGAAGTAAACATCTTTGAGAAACAAACAGTAAAGGACTATCAGTGTGGAGTGGGCACAGTGCACCTGAGTGCCTGGGTGCCACTCCTATTACGGGTCCGGGCACCCAGCAGTTCACCCTGGGCAGCACTCCACCTGGCTCCCCTCCTGAGCTTCTGGGCCTCCCCACACTCAGCTAATTAGAATCATGGAATATCATCATGGTGAGAATCATAGGGCTCCTTAGGTCCAGCTCATTTTCACAGTGGAAATTTTAAACTTCATAGGAATTAAATAATTCTCAGTGATGGCAAACAGAAAGTTTGGGGCATATTTGGGGTTTCGATGTAGGGCTTTTGTTTAATCCCATTGCTTTTTCATTATATTATGATGCTGCCTTACAACCAAATATGTGCAGAAAAGGAATATCTTTTCAAGATATGAAACGCTTTAATGCTTTTTCTCAAAGCATTGATGATCTATTTGGTTCTGATGGTGGTGGGATTCCAGGTGAGGGTTTTTCCTTTTCCCTCGTGGGTAACACCGTGAGACTAGCTGCCTTTTATGTGTGTGGATAAGGTCGGCCTTGAGAAAAACAGAATAATATATGGAAACACAGAACAAACTGAAACATACTGCAATGAGGAAAACAATAATCATTTCATGCGGAATGATAGTCACAGTGCTTCTTCCTGGACAGTACTAATTTGCAGTCAAACAGAATTCTTAAGGATGTTAAACTACCCATCCTATCACTTCAGTGAAGAAACACTGTGTGTTGAACACATAATAGAAACTCTGGTTTTTCATGTTTGAGGAGAGTCTGGTAGCATTTGCTGGTTTTATAGCCACCGTAGCAATTGTATCATACAGTTATCTCACATTGAGTTTGCAGTCCAAGAAAATCACTATTGTGTTTTCACTGGAACCATGGCCAAATTAGATTTCCCTCATTTCTCTATTAGAAAAAAATTAAATCTATCTTAAGGTGGAGGAATAATCATTTTGGGGGAAAATAAAACTTTGTGTAGGCAGATGAGCTAACATGAAAATGGCACGTGTACAAGCTTCTTCACTTCTCCTGCCTTCCCCGCTTACTGAAATCTTTCGTTTCTGAGAGGTTGCTCATGCTAACGTGATTAATATGCATGAGCGACTGAACCTAAATGTTGCAAGTAATTGTATTCACTCATAGTCTAGAATAAAAATAACCCTGAGGAGTGACTTCAATTATACCATTACTTCCATGTCAAATGTCTTACAATGCATTCTGTTTGTCTGCAGAAATCTGTAAACACCCGTTTTGCTTCAACAAAATCCTTACCTTTCTGGTGAAATGTATGGGTGTATGCATTTGATAAAGGCAGACTCTCACAAATGTTTTGCAGACACTTGTAAAATTTTGCAGTTATCTTTACCTCTTGTGGAGCGTCACTCTGGATAAATTTTTCATATATTGCTTTTGCTTTAAGGATAATTTGCTGAGGGTCTCTGCTTTTCTTGAAGTCTTCGCAGGCTTTCCAAAATTCAATGTTTTCCTCACTGAATTCAGTTTTAAGAAATCTGGTAAAAGTCTCCAGTCCATCTACAAAGAAAAGGAGTGGTATATTTTAACTCTAAGATATTAATGCTGAGAAAATGTACTTCGTATTAAAGTGTACCTGGAAAGACGTCTTCTCTCTAACGGATCATAGCAGCATCCATCTTGCACTGCATATATGTGGGACCTCATAGAAGTTAGCCGTGATCTTCCCAACTATCAAAGGGGAGTGTCATTTCTGTTGAAATGAGGCTGGTATCACACTTAGACCTGAATAAGCGGGTCCCCCACTTTGGACCTTATTTTGGGCCTCTTTCAGCCATGCCTCTACCTGGGTGTGTGGGGGGAAGGTTATTTTATACAGCCAAGGAGCCATTCCACTTGGAGCACCCCACATCTTCTAGGCCATACTTCTGGGACTCAGGACCCTGGAATTCCCTGTTTATAATATCTCTTTCCAGCGTTTGTCCGCTCAACTCATTTTCACTTAAATTTATTTCCTATATCCACTGCCCTATAGCACTATTTCTCAAGGTCAGTGATTATTTCTAATATAAAAAGTTTGATATAGAATGAAGCATGAAGGATAACTCTCTGTTGGTGGAATTATGACACTGTCTAAAGGGTTTTGCCTTTATGACATGTTTAGAGGTTTTGAGGGGTAAGTGCTGTTTATACCCCTTTCTACATTTCATATTGACAACAATGCTTGGAAGAGGTCCAATATTCATTTGCATACAAAAGGAAACTGGATTTCACATAAGCTCAGTTGCTCCTACTCACTTTTCAAACAAACAGAAACTTGTAGATGTGTATCTTTGTCAGGAGTTAGGACTTTCTGTGGGACGCAGAGCAACAGCCCTTCAAAGATGGCCATACCCTGATCCCCAGAACTTGTGATTGTTTCCTTATAGGGGAGAAGGAGCTTTGCTGATGTGGTCACCGTTAGGGACCTTGAGAAGGGGAGCATATCCTGGGTTATCCACGTGTGCCCAGCCTCATCTCACGAGTCCTTACAAGTGGGAGAGGAAGCCAGAGGGGAGGGTCGGAGAGATGTAACACGAGAAGGACTGTTGCTGACCTTGAAGATGGATGAAAATGGTCATGAGCCAAAGAATGTGGAAGCTTCTAGAAGGTGGGAATGGCCCTCAGTTTAGAACCAGCAAGAGAATGGAGATCTTGGTCCAAAACTTCAAAGAACTGAATTCTGCTAAAAACCCAAATAAGAATGAAAGGGATTCTCCCCTAGACCCTCTGGCAAACACAACATCCTGCTGACACCTTGATTTTATTTACGATGAGACCCTGCACTTCTGACCTACAACACGGTACGATTGTACACTTGTGTTGTATTCTGTCATGAAAGTTGTCATAAATTATTACTGCAGCAACAGGCGACTAATACAATCCTCAGGTTATGCTTTACACATCACCATTTATTTCTCCCTTTTATAAAACTTGTCCTTTTTGTCATGAAGCACTATTATTGGGTTGTTGGAAAAGTCATGACGTATTTTTTCTATGTTTTTCATTGCAAAAAATGTGTCATGACTTTTCCCACAACCCAATAGTGTTATTATTTTATGTTGTGAGCAATCTTTTGACTATGTTAGAGTACCAGGAAATTAATGTGTAGGAAATCAGTCCTCAGAAATGATGTGATGATCTACAGATGTTCCCTAAGTATTAGAGGATGGGATGGGTCCAACCACCGCCATGATGAGTCACGTCTACCCCACTGCTCCTTCCGCTGGCATTTTCACCAGAGTGAGGGGAGATGCTACGTTTCTCTTACTCAGTAGACTGACCCTGAGCGCCAGATGTGAGTAGGGAAATGTTAGTTGAGAAGCCAGGAAGACAAGCCAAGGTCAGGCCCAACAAGAATGTGAGAAGGTATCGTGAGACTGGTGTGCAACTCAAACTTGTCAACTGTCATCAGATGCTGATGAGATCATTCCTGGTCAAACAGGACCATCTTAGGAGACTTTCATACTAAGGGGCCCTGAATGAGTCAACAGTGTCTAGCCTCTGAGCAGAAGCAAGAGTGATCAATGTGCATGATATCTAACTATTCTTTTTCTTATTTCTCTAGCTTAGTGTTGGATTTTCAAGATTTATTTCTTAGGCTGCGTCATACACTTTTCTCAGAAAGTAGTAAGGAAATATGCATGAATCATGATCCTTTTGAAGTATTTGGACAGATTTTCCGCAAATGCTTAAGAGTGTGTATACTTCAGAGTAAAGTTAACAATCTATCTCTGTTTTTAATATGTTTAAACCCAAATCGCTGCCAAAAGTGAACAGGGAGTCAGACACTCCAGTTCTATGAATACCAGGGTTTAACAGCACACCAGCACGCATGGGATTATTGGTTGTAGTGTGTTCCAGTTTGGTTTTCTTTCCCACAATTCCTTTAACCCTCTGTATCTCAGCACCTGACCTGGAGAAGAAACAGTTTGAGTCACTGTTCTTATTTGAGATGACATTCTTTTAATTTGGCCGTTGAGTAGCAACAGCTTGAAAACTGCTTCCTTTGTTATTTGTGTGACTGGAAAGGTGGCTTTGTTGCATAACCTCTGATTTTACTTTGTTGTGTCTCTTGTTTTCTCCTTCCTCCTCCTCCTTCTAGAATGATTGTAGAAGGAAACAAGAGACAAAGGCAAAGCAAACCTTTCAATCCCTAGTTCGAAACTTGAATTTGAAATGTGGGCCATGTTTAGGTCTGTAAAAGCAAAACCACAACAAAAACAGCAATCTGTAGACCAGTTGGCTTGACCCAAACTTTAGGAAATTATGCAAGCATGACCCAGCCTCTGGCAAGAGCTAAAAAAAAAACAAAAAACACTGAGAACGTTCTTCTTGATAAATTTTTAGTGTAATAAAAAACCACTGCTTGACACCCATGTTTCCTTCCTCTTTCAAGTTTTTAAAATGTTAGTCTTTTCCCTCCCCTATTAACATCCACCTTTTACTGGCTTAAATTCTCAAAAAAAAATTATATTCGTTCAATTTATTTCTAGTAAATATCGTCAGAACTAATACCCTTTTTGTATTTTTTTTGAACAGAATTCTGGAATTTCTCATTTGCTTAGTAGATTTCTGAAGAGAATTCCTTGGCTAGATATTAGGACACAATTGGAAGCAAGACAACAAAATGATAGTGAGAACATTTTCTGGTAACCCTAATTAAAAAAGAATGGTCATGTGGAAATGTGCACTGTGTTGATATGGAAAGATATAACGTTGGGTGTCATTGCTGTGTTGATGATGTGGCTCCTGCCTCTTTCCACCCGTAATCAGGGGGCACTTTCACTTGGCCCCTGCTGTTCCTCTGTTACTGTTTGAAGGGAAATTGAAGCAAAGTTGACAAAATACAATGCCTACTGTGTTACAATGGGAGGATGGTTAGTTCCGGGTCAGAAGTGGTTTGGAAAGAGGAAACTAAAGCTGTGTTTTATTGGGTTTAGGAATGAAGTTACTTTGACCCTAGTAAAGGGGAAACTTTTGTTTCAATATGTTCGATCCATATATCATGTATGTGCACAGATCGATCGGTTTTTAAATGCAAAGTTATTCCTACACTGAGATAATTAATAATTATCACAATTTAGGAGGATAGCACCATTATTTTCCTGATGATTAAATCTCAATTATAATAAAGTGTTTCGTGCTGACATCTGAAAAGGATCATTCATATGCCAGACAACTGAAATTGTTCCTTACGTATTAACAATAACTTCCTTCATCTATCTTTAAAAAATGTGTGAAACACCCAGTATGAACCTGAGGACCGTGTTATATACCGAAAATGCAATCCTAATTACAATAGCCAGAGGTTTTGAGTGTTTCCAAGGTCTCAGCACATTGGTATGTGCCTTTTCCTGGTGCGGGTCCATTTAATTTTCAGTCAGCCCTAGGGAGGAAGTTCTGGTCTACCCATTTATACAGACCAAAAGCTGAGGTTCAGGGTTAAGTTGCCTTAAATCTTACAACTGGGAAAAGATAGTACTGGGGTTGGAACCCAGGTTTGTTTTGTATAGAATCATAGAACCTTTACCACTAACCTACCACTTCTAACAGATAAGAGAAGCTGTGCATAGTCCAAGGACTCAGCCCAGACCTCCGCAGGGGTGAATTACTCCGTTTGGAGCATCACAGGAAGTTCACCTTGCATGGAATTCAAAGGGAAGCCTTCCAGAAAATAACAGAAATGTTACTTGGAATATAGCCCTTCACTCATTCCCAAAGTATGGGTGTGGACTAGGTGCTGGCCATCGTGTTCTGGGATGGCACACAATCATAGCCCTTTGTCACCATGGTTAGTCCTGTGCTTGAAACAGACATTCCAGATGTAGTCACAGCACTAGTCCTGGGGAAAGTGCCTTGTGCTGAAAGTATCCATGATGAGTTAATCGGAGTGAGTGGAGTCTGCTGGCCTAATATGAATACAATTGGGAAGCATGCATACTAATTCCAGAAAGGAGTTAAGGACGAATGAGAAAGTGGTTCATTTGTTTACAAGGTGAAGTAAATTACTTTTGAAAATGTAATATGCAGCGCTGTGCAAGGATATTCCAGCACGTTAGCTTTACTTCCTGTGTCTCTTACGCACTCTGGGCAGCTGCAACAAGTCATGTCATAAGGGAACCACCTCTCTCCCAGGGGCAGTTGCTTACTAAACTGGCCCTTAGAAAGCAGCTGTGGTGAAGCAGCTGTCAGCAGGCTTGACAGAACCTGAGAGTGGAAGTCACCCTAAAAGACGCTGGCTCAATGCATCCTACAAATATGAAACGCTTGCAATTGCGTGTTTCTCAGTTGAAAGTCTGGCACCTGCTAGAGGATGTTTCTGGTGCCAATAAACCGAAGTCATGCCACTCTGAAGCTGGAACCCCAAGTACAGTAACAGCCTAAGATCTAGGTTGCATTGGTTCCTCTGTAATATCGGGCTCCACAGCTCTTGACCTGCCCAGGATGTGGTGGTGGCTTGGATGATACTGCTTTAGTGGTGTGATGCGTTTATAACTAGAGCTAGATTGTACTTCTTT